CAATCTGGATTACATCCTACTCCGATTTTCTCAAAACCAGACATTTTCTCTACCCTTTTGCTGTTGGTCTCAATGCAGCTGCGAAACGACTCCCCCTACCGTCAGTTCATTTTCATTCATCTGATTTTTGTGAGATACATCGGGAGTGCTATCGAAAATTAAGCAAGTATACTTGCTTTCCTTGATCTAATGTAAGATTTTCTTCCTCACCTGATTTGCAAAAATGCTCACTAATTCCTTTTGAACGCGTGGGGACAAATAAAAGTTGCTGCTTTTCCTTCCCAGCTGAACTACCACCAAATGTTCGCGAATAAGAAACGTACAAATTCTGTAAAATCCCCTCTATTTTTGGCCTCCTTTGTCATCCTGTATGTCTTCTCGGTGACCACACAGTGTCATGCTTTGCTTGATGAGAAACCTTTCCTTCACTTAGCCAGCTTGCTACCTCCTTGCTGTTGAGCAGTGACTGAGCACGCGATTAACTGGATTCTTGTGCACATGTTGTTGGATTTAGTTTCCACCAGTCGAAAAACTGGATTACCCCGTTGAAGACATCCTGCAACCGAAAGCAAACAAGGCCTCTGTTGAAGGAGAATACACCATCGGTATATGCAATTTTTGCTCGCCGTTTTGCATATCCTGAAAACAAACAGTTCATTGTTAGCTGCTTAGCCTCAGATTTGCATTCGTTCCAGGTAGTACCAAGCATTAAATACCTGATCGACAGGCTGCAAGACAGTAGATCCGAGCAGGACAAGCATAGTGAGAATTTCATGGCCAATCTTAACAGCCTACTGACACACATCCCTATAATCGGTTGATCTGCGTGCATTTCCAATTCTTTAGCTTCGCGCGCTTCTTCCGCATCAGCATTCCAAAACTCTCCCGCTGCATCCATGCTGTCATTATCACTTTTTGTTGTCCGGATATCACTATCTTTAGTACCGACTTCAACTTGGGTCACCAAATGAGTCTCATACTTCGTGTTTACCACTTCCTTTATGGAATAAATTTTGTTGAAGTTACACTTGGTAGTAAAGTACCATCCGTAGTAAAAATGCCGCCCCATGTCACGTACCCCCAGGGCGGATCCCCCCTATACTACGCCTCTGGCGTCACCTCGTATGCGATGTTGGGCTTTATTGCTCTCCGCTTACAATTACAAGATCGCTTATTTCCCTGGGAGAGTAAATAGAATGGCGGACGCTATGAGCAGTTTAGCGTTGAGTCGCCTACCAGCTTGTGTACTTAAACCTGTGGGACCTGTCCATCTGCTGCAACATTTGGGCAAAAATCTTGTGTCAAATGCAGATATCCGTCGGGAGACTGAACGGGGTATCTTACTGGCCAATGTCAAGCATCCAGTCTCTCAAGGATGGTCTGACAGCTGTGAACCGAAACTAATGCCTTACTTTATCCGGCGCACAGAGCTTAGTCTCGAAGATCGGTGTCCGCTATGGGGATCTAGAGTGATCATACCACCACGGTGGCGACAGAATATTTTACAAGAACTGCACGAAGCGCACCCAGGAATCACGAGGATGAAGACACTTGCGCGATCCTATGTGTGGTGGTCTGATATTGACAGAGATATCGAAGAGTTGAACCGACACTACGAGGTGTGTCAAAGCGCTCAGAGGAATGTCCCTCCGGTGCCACGTAGTCTTTGACAATGGCCCAGTAAACTTGGAACGCATACACGTAGACTTCTTTGGCCCGTTGGAAAAATGTTTCTCCTCTTGATTGATGCTTACTCGAAATGGGTACAAGTTTTTCCACTTGCACATGCCACATCTGAGACGACCGTTTCTTGCATGCGCACGTGTTTCAGTACCTTCGGTATACCACATACGTTGGAAACAGACAACGGTTCCGTAGTTACTAATCAAGAATTTCAAGAGTTCCTTAAAGGCAACGGCATACATCATGTGAAATCATCCCCATGTCACCCAACTTCAAACGGATTGGCAGTAAGTGCCGTTTAGACGATGAAGAACGGGTTACGGAAACAAGCGTATGCTCCAATGCAAACAAACTTGGATACATTTCATTTTGGCTACCGCACGATGCCAAACGAAACTACGGGGAAGAACCCAAGCGAGTTGATGTTTGTATGGGGGTTAAGGACACGGCTGGATCTTCTGTTTCCTGACCAGAGGCTACATGTCGAGGCTAAGCAAGACAAATCTAAGACCGTGTACGACCAGGAAGCTTCCGACCAAATATTCTGCGAGAATGAACCGGTCTACGTCAAGTTACCCAACGAAGCAACATGGCAGCCTGGAGAGTTGCGCGAAGTTGCGGGACAACATACAGAGATGGCTTTACCTGACGGTAGAGTAGTTGGCACAGGGATCACGTCTGCCATCGTTCTGTTTCAATTACTCTAGATGACGTGTCCTCAAACCAAGATACTGGGTTGACAAAGAAGCAGGACTCTCCAAACTCTGGTCAACAGGAGGCTCAGCAATGCCGCCGTTCAACGGCTACGCCGACCCATCTATCGATACCAAGCTAGCTGGAGTGGTCCAAACGAAGGGGAGAAAGAAGGTCGCATCCTCACGCCTATTGTACTGAACCCTTCCTATTCGTCGCCTCCGTCTGCTGGTGTGTGTCAGTAACCCGCTCACCTATTTATCGATTGGCCTAATTTAGCATAGTGAATTGATGTGTTGTACAACATTCTGGTTAGAATACAGTTTTTCCCTCCGTTTGCCTGGCATGTTTTGCTTTGTGATACTTCGGCCAAGTGCCAGAACTGAGTGTTAGTTCCGCAATTGCGAAACTTTGACAAAAGCTTCTGTGCTCCCTTGGTGTTCTGTTTGACAGCACATCTTAGAAATTAGTGGTTTTCATCTGGCAATATCAATTCACTGAACCTCTAAAATTTGAGATGACCTACATGATGTCTGTGTTATCACTGAGGTAGTGTGTAAAACGCAACATCCGTTTTTCATGGCAATTTCAGCTGCAAACACTAAGGTAGCCGCCGGCATCTCTCAAGAACTCTTAACTACCACACTGCTTTTCCCGGGCACATCTTTCCTAACCAAAGTTTCCCAAAAAGCACATCGATCGCCGAACTAAATGCACCGTTGTTGCCGGGGAACGTAATTACAGTGGGTCGACAAGATAAATGGCGTTGAAGAATAGTTGGAGGGTCTGATCAATGCAGCCTGGAATTCGGCGGAACTTAGCTTGCTCTTTACGAAGCTGACTTTCATAGGTGGCATTCAGTATATGAAAAACGACTGTGATAGTTACATGGAGACGATAAATATCAGACGATACCTCTATGATTGTCACACTCCAGACCTGAGACCCCATGAGGATCAGGACATTACTTGAACAAGTCCATTTGGGTAGGATGATTTCCTGATCCCACAGTGTCACCAATGCATCGTGTGTGAATTTGTGTATGGCTGAAGGAAGTGCACCTGTTCATGTAGTGGGTTTCAGAGTGAGCACAGAACTCAAGTCTTTCAACGGGCATTCGGATAAACATTAGCTATAAATCGATAGGGTTTGTATTGTTCGAACAAGTGCTGCCTGTTATCCAATCTGTAACAAGGTACACATCTTAAGACATAAAAGTCTTAGCGAGGATCGGTGGCTTCGAATAGAAGCGGATGGGCTGAAATTGACTACGTGGTTGAACATGAACTTGTCGGCCTGACCGGAACGGCACTTCGATCGCGTGTGGGTCGAAACAGGAAGACAAACGGATCTCAAAACACGGTGGCAGAGGGGCAGGAATTGTGGGCTTAAAAACAGGATGGATCGTAAAGACGAAAAAGCACAAGAGAGAGAATAAGAAGATGCGAAGGCCTAAACAGTAGCATCCTAACAACTACTCACCCTGCTCGATGCAGTAGCTAAGGCGCTGTTGCTTATCATTTTGTTACCTAAACTCCTCTGTTGTGGATTACGCCAAGCATGCTTTTCAACAGGATTTATGTATCAAATGGACCTAAGTGAGCGACCATATTTTACTTTTCTCACTCCTTACCTCAACGATCACTGCACCCCAGTGTCTTTCTGAACGTTTACGCTCGATAATCTATTTTAATTTTACACTGTTAATTATCAAGCTATTCATCTCGGCAGACGTTCGATAGATGACCCAGACATATTTTGATTTCATCGTATTCACCGCAACCATCCTACGGGACGTGTCAAGTACTTGCTTTTATCCCGTGATAAATCATTGTTCATTGTTCATCTGTGACGGCCAGTGCATCAAAAAATTTGTTGAAACCAACCTCGGTGTATTGCGTTGGCAGGATGTTGTCAGATTTCCTAGGCCTAGACAGGCGAACGATTAGAGTTCTCAACCAAAACCTTTGGTTCCAAAACCTGACAGTAAGGCAGTGCGGTTTAGGTATTGGGCTACAGAGAGTCCGTTTTGTGGTGTAAGGAGCCACCCCACTCCAACCTGGAGATTGAGTTGATCAGACCTCTAATAATTGACCAATCTGGTATGAGTGGCTCTGAAGGTGCACTAGCACCACTCAGTACTGCTCAGTGGATTATGCTGACACCAAACCATCGCATCACGCTAAAGTTCAGCCTTATTGTACTTTAAAACACTGACTGTTTGCTTGGTTTTTACACATATACACTGAGCTTTATCCTGAAGTAAGCGTAATTTTATCTCGAACCTTTTTGGCTGTTGCTTGATCCAAGGAAAACTATGTCTATCCACGTAATTGCTCACTACCACAGACTCAAAAGCCACAGAGTGAGTGGTGTTTGTGAACTAAGGCCAATTGAGAACGCAGACATCTCACCATTGCTGTTGGTCGTTGCTAGTTTTCACACTTATCTGAGAGTCTAGTTCTTGATATAGAAGTGAATCAAGTTGCCTGTTGATCAATTGACCAAGTCAACTCAAATCGAGAATGCGTCTTTGTGTACTCCTAAAGGTTGAATTTTCAGCCCATTGGTTCTCTACAATCTTGCACTCACTTTCATGTCGTGTGTACTTGTTCCGTTTACAGGGGATTGCTGGCTTCTTGCCGCCATCGCGTGTCTGTCACTGAAAAGCAATTTAGTTGCCCAAGTCGTCCCGGAAGATCAGGATTTCACCACTGACTACTGTGGTCTTTTCCGTTTTCGGTTTTGGCGGTATGGAGAGTGGAAGGAGGTTGTCGTTGATGATCGCTTGCCTACATCGAATGGGTCGCTTGTTTATATACATTCGACAGCCAACAACGAGTTTTGGTCAGCTCTTTTGGAGAAGGCTTATGCCAAGTAAGTATGGATTGAAATCCTTTAAAATGTTAATAATGCTCCAATCCATTAGTAGAGGATCAGTATACTACTAGAGTTTTAAAACTTATAGTTGCGTGATTCCCTAGACATCTACCACAGTGCCAACAGGCAGCCCTTGACCGAATACTAGTGACCCCATTGTTCAATGTCTGCCGTTCATCGAAAACCCGCCTGCAACATTCAAGTTCTGTGCTCATCCTGCGAGTTTTCACAAACGACATTGACAGCATTTCATCATTGCGCTTGTCCGGAGAAGACTCAGCTGCGAATGCTGGTTAAACCTGTGTGGGCATTGCTTTGAACCCCAATCTCAAGCTACCCTTGTCGATTGGATCCCAATGAACAGCCGACTGTGCGCTGACAGATTATCTGACTCGCTCAAGCTTTCGAAGTGGCGTGTGAACAAACGATGCCTATTTGTCATTGCTGTGTAGGCGCCCACAAACTGTGGCAGGGATTCGGTTAAAGACCACTTCTATCACTAACTGAACGATCTCTTTTGTTACAGAAAGAGTACGAAGACTGTGGTGCTTACATGTGATTTGATCACCCAAGCTGGAAAACTGACCACTAATGAGCTTCATCTGACCGATCAACACGGCATAGGCTATCGCTTTGAAAACGATGAGCTGTTGCTACACATGTGTAGGTCTTTGACTATTTCTCGTCAGCACTAACTTCCGACACAGCACCCGCGGAAGAGTGAATTGGCGCACACTACCATAAGGCCAGCCATGGGCGCAACTCTATCCCATCGCGAGCAGTTACTGTTGGAGAGTCTGTGTTCTAAACTGTTGCACGATTTGGGACGCAAACGTGGACGCTGACCACAACCTTGTGTATACTGACCTGCGGGTGCGTTTCAGCGGACGTCTGCAATGACGCTATGAACATATAGACACGAACGAACTGGTGAAACCAAATATTCTGAATGTCTATGAAATTACGCCGGCATTCACACTGAGTAAACGTTCAGTGAACACAGTTGAAGATCACTTGTCGCACATTTCCACACTTTACTATCAGCAGGCAAGTGGAAAATCAAATTGCCCACCTAGACATTAAGTCTCTAAGTAATTCCCGGAAATTTTGGATGCGAACCGACCTCTTTTCTTTCTGGAAGCCAACACAACGCGATTCGCAAACATCTCAGGGCAAAACTGCGTTTTACCCTGCAGAGAGCGGCGAAGCATGGTGGTCTCATCCTGCATCGTAGATGGAAACGGCCGCTGCCGTTGGTAACTACTTATTCCGTCTGATACGGGAAACGAGCAGCAGGGAACCTGGTGTTAGCGAGACCATACATGAGGAGTGTGGGCAGCCAATCCCCATCTTGTCAAAATGCTTGTAATTTGGGGCCGAACACTGAAAAGCAGATTAATAAGTCAAAATTGCCATCTTCCCTAAGGGCAGTTGAACGCCCTTCTCCTTGCGTAGCCTCTATTGGGAGCACCCTCACACACAAAAGTCAGGCATAAGATCGGACTGTTGAAATCGAATAAGGCCGCGTTAGCAGATAGACTTCATACAACCGTCTTCAACTTCGTGGGACTAGCTCTTGTGGATGATTTGCAAACTTACTGGTGAACCCTTAAGAACAGACTAGAGCTGCTCCGTTATAGTCTCGATTTTCAAGAGGATTCACGTTCGGAATGCAGCAGTCACAAACAGATCAGTCTGATCTCAATAGGCTCTAATTGTCCTGCTTTCCTCGTTCTCGATAGACTGACTGTGGATTCCCTTGAGCAGCTGGATTCTAGTGAATGACCTTTGATGATATTATCTAAGGTTGATTCACGAGGTAGTACTAGACGCTGTTTGTTTGTGGCTGATGCTGCCAAGAACGCCTTCTATCACGAATTGAACACGCTGTTTCACAGTGTTACCATTTTAGATATCATAGTACTTGCAGGGGATATGAATGCACAAGTAGGTGGTCTGTGCTCTTCAGAAGCTCAGTTAAGTGGTAAGTATGAGCTTAACTCCCAACGGACGGACAACGGCGAGCGTCTGTTGCAACTGTGTGCGGAGCATCAGCTGTTTCTTAGTAGCACCTCTTTTAGTCACAGTGCGCGCCGAAGTGCCACTTGGGGTCCACCTGTTGCTGAGCAGCGATGGACCCAACTAGATCACATTGCTTTAAGTTAAAGGTGGCGTGGACTGTCGCTCATTCTGGAGTACTTGCCATGGTACGCTGTCGTCTTTTTCTGAACTTTGCCAGGGGCATACCAAGCGTCTCTTTCGATTGCCATTTCAGTAGTTATCTCAACCCTCGATCGGACAAGCGTGCTAGGATGCTCTGCGTAGCGAACCTTTCGCTCTCTTGTCCTAATGACACTGAGCTTCAGTGGAATAGGATCTTGGCCGCCATGCAGGACGCCGGAACATCTGATTGTGGTACTATTAGTCGTCACCGCACCAGTCCGTAGATATCCGAGAGGTCGATGAACCTGTTGGAATCCAGTAGAAAACGCCCTGCTAGCTCTGGGCACAAAGTAACCAGACGAACTATTAGGCGCGACCTAAAGCGGAGCCGGCCGGTGGCCGAGTGGTTTGCATGCCTGGCTTGCAATCATAAGGTCACCGGTTCGAATCCCCGTAGGAGCGGGCGTCCTCGTGGTATCCTCAACCCACGCGCAACTGGTGGAGGTGGGAACAGTAGATAAGTATCGCAGGCTCTTTCAACTGATCCGCTCCACTGGTCTCAGGGAACCTGGCGTCAGTGAGACAACCAACGACAGCGCGGGTGCCCTGATTTCCAATAAGGAACATTATATGTCTCGTTGGGCGGAACACTTTCGGGATCAGTTCAGTTGCCCCCTGCTTCCAGACATCTTCCTACTCAGGTGATGAAGGATGAGCCATGAACGATTAGTTTAGAACAGGGTTGTCCAAACTTCGTGCAAGGAGAGCCACATTTTCTGAGGTAAAATTATGTCGGGCCATATTCAGTCTGACATTAAGCTAATAACAAAACTACAAATGTACGAAAAAGTCTAAGCCTGACTTTATTATTTCATGATGAGGCTGTGGGTCAGTTGGAACGTTAACGCAGGTCACATTTACCAGCAGGCCGGACTTTGGACATCGCTGGTTTAGAGGCTCCATCAGAGGCTGAGGTCCGAAACGCGATCACAGCCCTCAATCGGTTTGGTGCTTCTGGTCCGGATTCCCTCACACCTGCACTATTTAAGGATGCTTGTGTGGTCCTCTGCAAAATACTGACATACCTGTTCAAACATGTCTGGAAGCAAGTGTCCCGGCTAATTAGAGTGAATCGATTCTAGTTGCAATATACAATAAAGGCAGTTGCACTGACTGTACTAACCACAGGGGTATTAGCCTAACGCCGGTGGTGATGAAATTAATGGCCTCAATTCTCGTTCGTCGCCTCACTGCGGAGCGAGCATCCCGGACTAGGCAAGAGCAAGCAGGTTTCCGCCCAGGACGGAGCTGTGTTGACCAGATATTCACTCTGATGAGGTGCTGGAGCAGCGCCACGCATACCGCAGATCGACGATAGCTGTGTTCCTGGACTTCAAGAGCGTGTTCGATTAGGTCGACCGATGCATTCTGTTCAAATTGCTTGCGCAGAAAGGTGTTCCCATGAAATATGTGAACATTTCCTGTGCTCTATACTGGAACATCACCAGCCGCATCAGGCTACACGGGGACTTGTCGGATGCTTTTTCGTCAAAAGCAAGTCCAAGGCAATCGGATTGATTGCCTCAAGAGTTTCTGTGCACATAACACTGGTTGATAAGCCTTAATTAGCAACGCTTCACTGATTGCCAACATTATCGGACGCATTATCGGAAGATTGCGTACATCATCAATGCTGCAATCCAGGCTGTCTAGTTCAGCGGGAGCGGTACTCGTGGAACTCGGTACAGACACCTGGTCACTTACAAATACGAAAGCGAAGTGCGCCACTAGTGCGCACGCACGATCTATGCTCTAAGTTGGGGGCTGTCCATCTGAGCCTTCCAACACCGGCACATTGCTTGCAGACCTCAGGCGCCTCTTCACATCGGCGAATATCCTTTTGGCGGCAGTTTTGCGGCGGATGCAAGCTGCTTTTTGAAGCTTCTTCGATTTTTTGTCTATGCGTTGTTACAGTGATTTCGCTGTACTTTGTATGCCTTGTAATCCTCGTCAGAGCCAGATAACACGAATTTGTTCCATAGTCTGTGTCGTCCTCGGGCCAGTTTGCTGTACTCCTTGTCGAACCAGTGTGGCTTGACTAGCCCAAATTTCCGATACTTGAGGGATACAAATCGAGTCCACAACGATTTCACTCCCTCTTTAATGATAGTTCAACAGGTTTCAACAGACGTATCCTCTGGTAACGACCAGTCCATCTGGCTCGCTGCCCGAGTGTGGGCATTAAAGTCCGCCTTCCCGTAGTTGAAGTCTGGTTCCATTGGGGGAGAACACAGCAGCGGCAATTACAAGCTGGCTATGATCATCGAGTAGTCACTCACTTCCAGGATCTCCAAGATTTGGATGTTATGCACACGTTACTCACATCTGGTCAAAAGCAGGTCGAAGCACGATGGAGTTGCGCGCCCAGTTATGCGCGTCGGTTGGTTGATGTGCCCCAGTTTCAAATATCAACTCCATAAACTTCCTCTCGACTTCACAGTGGCCGGGGAGAAGTTCAGCCTCAGGCCACTGTATTCGGGGTAAGTTGAAATTGCTCATGAGTAGGAACATCTGACGACTCATGTGGTTGCGAACATGCGGCAACCAGTCCAAGCAGGGGCTCAGTGGACTGCGATATACCACGCTCACGAGCACCTCGCAGCGTCTGAGTTGAATCGAACACCTTAACTGCACGCAGACCATCAGCGGTTCGGTAGGTGCTCACTAGTCCGTCACACAAGGAAGACCTTACGGAAAGCAGAACGCCACCGCGATCATTTGATGGTCCGTCACAGCAGAAGCGTGAGTAACTGCTGATTTCCACTACTTGGCGGTTACGTCGGAGTTTAACCATGTCTCATTAAGGCCTACTACGTCTGGCCGGTGAGAGGTTGCAAAGTAGCAAAGCGAATCACGTTGGTTCATCAGACTGTAGTTAGTAAGGGATACGCACAGGCCGCGGTAGGAACAGCTGGGCGCCTGAAGCATCAGAAACCTATTGATCGGATTCGCGCAAGAATCCGGGTGACTACCAAGAAAATTTGCAATACGGAGATTTGTTTCTCCATCGTCCGTGTGTTGTTTTAGTTTAATGACGATTGGTTATATTGTCGTACCTCGTTGATCTAGAGCACACAGCGCGCCACTTTTCCGCAGCTGGGGTCTCTGGGTCAGCATTCCAGGATACACCCACGCTGTTGAGGCTTGCGAACTGCGCAGCAGCACGCTGCGGTAAGTTTCCGCATTTAATGTGACAAGTCCCACTGCCTACATTTTTCGGAAGTCGTGTGCATAGAGTACTCCGGTTTAGTTGGGCTAAACAAACACAGTCTATGCGACAAAACATTTACTATCTTCTTTACGGCTGTAAATGCCAATACCAGAAAAAAACAATATGAAGTTGTAGTCATTGAGTATAACATTTTTGGTTATCAGTTCAAATTCCGAAATTTCTCAAGCAAGTGTACACTACCAGTGATTCCTAACAGGCCTAAAAGGTAGCAAAGCATTTCTCTTGTTGTGATGAATCCATTTGGAAAACATTTAGAACACAACAAAATCCCTCAGATACCAGCTCTAGGAAGATAATTTAAAATGGTCAAATGTACCTGTGTGCAGTGATGAGCATTTGATTGGAGTCGCTAAGCTGCCATCCAGAAGCAATTTACATGACAACAAGGCCAAGATTTTGTAGCATTTTACCATGCTCGACTGGACACCGTCTAATACACAACTACGCATCTGTCTAGCTGAAATGGCCTCAACAGGATCTCAACTCCGAAGCTCAAAGCTACGCATCACGTACTACTGAATGATGCATTGATACTTGAAACCTCAAGAAATGCTTCCACTATTCATTGTATTTGGCTCACTTCTCGACGTGTAAGCCAAATATACATACATGACTAACCACCTTATAAAAATCTAATTCTGTCGGTTGCTTGGAATACACTACAAGGTTGTCGCTACTCTGTAGTGCTCTAACACAGGCCTTATTTCCTTACCTCTTTAAGGTACTCATGTATTTGTGAATGACAGATGTTTTCGCTTTTATGCATATTCTTCATGTGGTTTTGTCATTGGAATAAGATGAAATTGTGTGGTTACTACAGTGTTGACACTGGGTTCTGCGTTGATGTACTGATTCCTTGGCTGCTATGTGCTTGAGAGGTGGGTAATATACTCCACTATTTGAGTACTGAGGCACAGTAGTAAATCTCTTATGCTACAATCAAGCCTAATCCACCATTCATATTTTCTTTTTTTCCTGTGACACATTGAATCCCTATGGATCGGTACCACTTATTTGTTTTACTTATACTAAGTACGCATGGGTGGCCATTTAAAACCTGGTGACTGTTGGATTTCTACATTTCAGTATTTTAGTTACTTATTATTGCCTTCACAATCTGTAATTTCAGGCTTTGTGGTTCATACGAATCCTTGAAAGGAGGAATGACCAGTGAGGCTCTGGAGGACTTCACCGGTGGGATTGCAGAGATATTTGACTTGAAGTCTAAATGTTCACCTGATTTGTTGAACATAATGCTCAAGAGTCAGGAGCGTAATTCTCTCATGGCCTGTTCCATTCAGGCTAATCCGGCCATACTCGAAGCTATATTACCAAATGGCCTTATCATGGGTCATGCGTATTCAGTCACTGCGGTGAAAATGGTAAGATTTATTTTAAGCGTAACCTTAAAGTCAGCAGCAACCTAGAGTGAAACCGTGATAACGGAGCCTCTTATCTGAGCTAATGAGTTGACATTGGTACCCTTCCACATTGTATGCAAAGATAGAGCCGATATGCCCAATGTTTGTGCTTTTCATTTGGGTTTCCCACCTTCTGTTATTCACCGTTGAATTATGCCAAGTTCCACAATATGAGAACTAGAAAGTAACGTTTTCCCATGGCATTTAGTGTCTATAAATGGCACTCCTTAAGTGGCTAACGAATATAGGGAATAAGTAATACCTTTTCCGGCTGGCAACCGTGGATTCAACTTTTCTTCACAAAATTTGCAGGAGAATCATTAATATTTTTTCCTCGCGCTGTTAAAACCAGAAACCTTGTTGTCCAATCCCAGCTCACTTTTATTAATGAAAATTCAATAACTGGAAATACGTATATTTCTTTGGATAAGGCTATGTATAGCATCCTATCGGTATGAGCTAAACATCTCACTTGTTAAAGTCGCTACTCTACTGGACGCTACAGCCCGCGCTTAATTAGGTGAATTGTTCTCATTTTATGTGACTGGTAAATAAATGTATCTGGTGAACTTTGACAGATTTAATCCTGGTGCTTTAATATTTGAGAACATCCGTATCACTTACACCACGTCCGAAGTGCCACCTTACATTCATGTTTATTTGATTGACTACTCATTTGACGAGGAGATCCTCGTTTTATAAGGACATGGCAACACAGTTCCACCTCTGTGGTTGCATAGTTTGGTGCTTGTTATTACTTTTCCAACTTCCAGCATATAACCTTGTCTGGTTACCGTTGATCTACTAGGATTCCATGGGACAGTATACAGAGGAAGCTTTCCCGGCCATGTTAGTTAGAATGGTGACGATAACCTCACAGTCTCACTGACCTTATGTCAGGTGAGCTGTTCAACCTAGCTCACGGAGCTCGCAATGAACTACGCTGTCCAACGCCCAGGCAATGCTGATTTATGGCTAGTTTCCTAGACGGTTAGTGTTCTCCCAAATCAGTCTGTGGTCAACCTGCGCGTTTACCTATGCGGAAACAATTTACCGACCTGAGTGGTGGAAAACACCTCTAGACATTTTAGGAACTAACCTTCTACTGTGCTGTATAGCTTACTACTCTATAGGTTGGTGCTCACCGTAGGATGGAGCCACCAGCTGACACAAGTATAGACTCGAGGAAACTTTCTGAGCGGTGTTGTTCCGGAACTGTTTCAGACAAAATGTGCCCGATTCTTGATACCATGTCTTGCAAGACTAAGCTTATGTTTATTTTGTCACATAGGACACACCGATTCCTGCTTGATGCCACTGACGCTGCAAGTCAGAATTAATGAGTCTCATTTTCAGCGCATCACACGGAACCCACGGAGATGACTCAGATTGCCCATTCGATGATCGCAGTAACTCTAGCTCAGGCTTATAACGCGTTGTCTAGGTCAGTTGCTGCTTTCAACATGTCACCGGCAGGATTTGGACTCGGACACACACCGTTAACTAGCTCTTCCAATTCTTTATGGGCATTGCTGTTGAGTCGCAGTCGGGTGCGTGTAGTGCCCAATGACGACTGCACGGTGGCTGTGCTTGGTAAGGTGTGCTTGTTAGCAATTATGAAAGTATTCTGCGGACGAACTAGTTCGCACTTTGAACCCACTAATCTATTAAACGGGATCAGTTCCCTGGTTGTTTGTTGGGTCACTGGTGCGCTAAAACTGTCGGTTTTTTGATTCCAATTCACGGAATATTGTTCTGGTTGGGACCGATTCATTACTAGGTACAAACAGTGATTTCAAAGTAACTCCCAGTCCATGTAGTTTTATTAACAACAAAATTGGAGCAGTTGTATTCTACATGGCTAGAATCTACTGCCTAACGTACCCCGTAGGTCAGAGATGTCCAAAGTCTGGCCCGCGGACCAAATGCGGACCGCTTTAACATTTCAACTAGCCCGCGGCCTTATCATGGAACCATAAATTCAGGCTTAAGCTTTATTCGTACATGTGTACTTTTGGTTATTATCTTAATGTCAGACTGAATATGGCCCGACATATTTTTACTTCACAAATTGTGGGCCCTTTTTGCAAAAGGTTTGGAGACCCCTGTCGTAGACTAAGTAGGAGAAGAATCAAAAAGTGAAAAACGTAAGCGTGGTTACAAAACGTAAAGGGTTTTTTGACACACTCAGTGGGGGTTTCGCACAAAAGCACACCTAAAGAAGCCTATCTTGCTAGTATGTGTACGTGCTGGTGAGCATATCACTTCGGATTTAGATTACGTAGGTAACCTCAGGATGTATTTGAACACGGATAAGTTGGAAGCGAAAACAACTTATTCACTGAAGGCATTCCATGAGAAGCGCACACGAAGAACGAAAATGTTCCAACGACATTCTAACCGGAACTAATAAGGGGTCAGTTTAAACTGGTGATTCCTTAGGTTAGTGCTGTACCAAATTGTAGAAGGTTGCGGGTAAGGTGGTTTGGGTTCCTTAGCATCTGGCAGGTCACTTTAAGGTCACTTCGTAAGCAGCCAATTCGACCGATCCACCGTCTTTGTGTCAGCCTAAGTTGACAGAAGTTGTATCACCATTTAACGTGTTTGGTCGCCCTTGGTCGTAGATTCTCGAGGGTGGCAAAATCTTGCTTCTACCAGGGCTACAGACCTAGGTAGCGTGTACCACATTATATTGTAATTGTGTGTAGAGTATGTGTGAGCACTCGGATGGGCTAAACCTCCCAAATATCCTCCGCAGAAGACCGACGTGTTGGTTCCCGGTCTTTGACAAATTCCCAAATTGCTTTAAACAGCCGAGGTCATCCTAAACTAGCCGCCCAAAGTCTTCCTCTTGGGAGATAGTATGCAAGACATGCTCTTCTAGCTAGTGTACGCGTCCGGCAGATGACAAATGTGGACCATATTACATTTATACGAAATATTCTTGTTTGACTGATCGACTTATGTCAGAGTCCATTTTTCCTGACATCTAAAGAACCAGAGCTGTGTAACCGTCGAATCCACGTCCCATGGGCAAGAAATTAACCCTTATCCAGCTTAATCGTGGCTTACTCAGCTGCGCGCGTGTCTCAGATTTTGCTGCAATCACTTTACCAATCTTGTCAGTCATACTTGAGTCTTCTTGTCTTCGTGTCGGTGAACACTGCACTACGAGTTCCACGCTCAAAAACCATTTGGTTGTCGTTTTCTGGTTAACCTGGGCATTGAAAATGATAGCTCAGCTAGCTTTTTTGACGCGTTCCATATTCCATGGCATCGTTCTTGTTGATGTTGGAGAAGCTGAGATGCAATTTACTAAAAGGTATGAACGCATCAGAGATGAATCACGAATGAGCATTTGAACGAAGTACTGCCCCCTGATGAACGTTGCTCTCATCTTCCCATATTGTCAGTGCGTCGGCGTCGACCAGACCATCTGCCAGTTATCAGTCGATCAAACCATCGTAAACAAGCCTTCATTTCCGGATGTGTGTTAGCATTCCAACTTAATTAAAATTTCTGCCCATTTGTCACAAATGTGGACTAAGCATTGCAATAGAGTCATTAGAAGGTAAACAACATTTATGACACGTCCACTTTCGTTTCGACTTCTAGTTGGAACGGACGAAACGCTCTTCCTCGGTAATGCCGCACACATATAGTATCTAATTGGATTCAGATCGTTAAGGCGTAAGCGACTTCGTCGCCGATTGTTGCACACGCTAGCTGGGACTGGTGATGACATACGCAACCTTACACGACTGCACAGAGACTCAGCAAAGAAGATGTGGTCGGTAGCAAGACTTCCCTTACTGACTCAGCCAGAGGCAACACATGCCTTCTACACCCTCGTATCCATAGCGTAGTAGTATAACAGTCTAAAGCATTAACTATACAGGAAGCTGGATGTTGCGATGTCATGTAAGTTGCCACGCAATCTTCAAAGCAAGGTATCAGCAGTACGCCGGTACACAGTACCGACGCTTCGTTGCCAGGCGAACCACCACCGGTCGCACGTGGGCTACGGATAGTGCGAGGGTTGCCCTGCCCCATACGCAGGCTCAAACCCGCACCGCCAGATGACAAGACAAACTCATTACCTTTAGGCTACCTATTCTCAGTGTTCTGAGGAGCAGTGCTCAGTTGGTGGGGCACGGGCCCGATGAAATTCTCGTTTGACAAATCAAGCATTATATTCTATGGTTGTTCGATTCCGAAGGGTCACTTGAACCCAACGATTAAAGTGTGTGGATGTGGTAGTCTGCTCGTGATCTTGGAATACACTCTTCTTCGAACCCCGCTTTTCTGAGAAACTCAGTGCGGAATGCCTCATGCCAGAAACCCGTGGCTGACATCACATATCACAAAATCCGTACAATCACTGACAAAATCGAGATGTTCTAAACGCATACTCCCCCCGTCCTTGAACACCTCTTCATCTATGGTAACATGCAGATGATTGACAGAAACAGATACCAGAAATTTAGAGAGATCATTCAGCAAACGTTTGTTCAGTAGTGCAGTTCCCCTAAACTATCTTGAACCTTTGCAAGCTATTTTACTTATAGCGCATGTGGATGCGGCGTTTGGAGCAAACCTTGATGATCTCACATAATTTGCTACAGCAGGAAATGTGCTGCCACTTGCCTAATTTATCGACAAGACGAACTCCGTGGCAGAAACTGCATCCTAATTGTGATGAGGAATAGAACAACCAAGTGCTTAAGCCTTTTTCTCATCAGATACGCCGTTTTGTGTAACAGCGTACTGGCCACATGCAGTACATGTTAAAATCCTGATCCTTTCACGATAAACATAATAGATTCTTTGACCTGGAAGCGGTGTTATTCATGTGCCCATCCGACGAATTCCTGGATAGACGAAAATTTAAAAGCAGCTTCCATATTCACTCATGCAAGAGCAATAACATCTGTTCCTATTTCAGAAACAGCTTCTCGCGTTTTAGATGCGCACTTTACACATGCTAGGGTCACTGGGGAGTCGGGATGGAGTTTTTGCAGTTTGCGTTGACACTGCAGTGGTTTGAAAGTGGATAGCTAAGCTGCTACCCGCGCAGTCATCAGTCTCTGCATAGTGCGGATTAGTTCAGACAAATCCTGCGCAAGTTTCGCGGATCTATGCAAGCTACGCAACAGTAAATTTTATATGCGGCAATATTTTTGGGTTTTATTTTCATAATGTGTAATTGTTCAGTTTTGCGGCGACAATTCCGGAAAAACATTATCAGCGTGTTGGATCGCTCATTTGAGATTTTTGTGTTAATTACTGACTACTGAGTAACCTTCACAATTATTCTCGTTAACTCTGGTTTAATGCAGAAAAGCAATGGAGTCTTGTTGACATAAGGTTTAGAACGTTAGCATGGACCAGCTTTAACACTAAGCGGAATCTGTGACACAAATGAAGATTATACCGCATTCGCGGCTTATTCGAGCCGTTTGGATTCGGCAATTAATGAGAGTGGCTGAATTCCGTCACGGACCCATTATTTATTGCTTTCTTTGACAGTTCTTGTTTTGTTCATGTGCAACACCACCTGACTTAAACGGACCTACGCGAAAATATTTTAATTATTCTTGTTGATTAATTTCCTTTATCGATGTTAGATAGATGTATCGATTCCCGGAAAACCTGGCCAGATACCGCTAGTGAGGGTTCGTAATCCGTGGGGTAATGAAGCAGAATGGAAAGGCCCTTGGAGTGACAAATCACGAGAATGGTCGCTCATCTCGGACGAAATGAAACTCAAAGTTGGATTGACCTTTGAAAATGACGGAGAGTTTTGGTGAGTTGCTTTGTAACTTGATTTCGACTGTTAACTATGGCTCACTGGAGTGCACGTCGGCCAGCAGGGTGCGTGATGGTTAGGCAGCGAATACAAGTGCTGCAAATACACCCTCGCGGTTGAAACACACAAAGCTGTCATAATAATACTACAAATACTACTGCTAATAATAATGGGTATATTTCTCTTTAAGTGAGAAGCCGCCTCCATATTTGGCACAGATCAAACATATACTGCTAGTACCTTGCTCTTGCATGGGCAATCTGAAGTTGTGGCGAATAACAAACAATTGCATATTCCTCGTCGGTGCGAGGTACAGTCCAACTGGATATTACAATTCTTGGTGTATTGCGGAATCGCAAAGAGCAGATGTTATGTTTTTCGAATTTTCCAAAACAGTCCTCAAGTTTTTTGGCAGACACGGCTAATTGATCGGTTAAATCTTTCAGGAAGATTGTGAGGTTTCAAAAAATAATAAGTGTAGATAAATAAAATTGTAAATCTAATGTACCTTTTCTGACTGATGTAGGTAGAATCCAGTGTTTGGGACATGTATAAAAGTTTGTATCTGTCTTGGAGAAGCTCAAACCTTTCCGGATAACAACAACATTTCGCTCTACTCAAAGTCGAATGATCAACAGAGGGTTGGTGAATATTGTTTCGTCTAAGGTTCACACGAACAAAACTCATTTAGGCGAGTCTGTTTCATTTCTGAGCTTACCTGATCCCAAATGATTCCGCCAGACCTATATGTTACAATGAAATTTTCAAGCTATTTGTACCGGATTGATTGACCGTCCTGATTCGCAAGCGCTTTGGTTGTGGTGCTTTGACTTCTGATCACGCTAACCGCGTTTACGCCTGAGTAGAAATACAGCAGTATGCTAACTTGAATTTACCCAAAAACTTACATTGGCTTACCAATATAAGTTTAAAAACTGTGCTCACTTTACTGAATAGTGGAATTTTGGTACAAAACCCCATGTCACTAGGTGTTATCGAGTGACTACTTCGAAAGTTCGTTCTGCAATATTACAATAGGACGGTCTTTTGTTGTGCCGCTTTTGGACAGGTATTGTCTGAACTCCTCTTCATTACCTGTAAGTAATAACCTAAACCAAAACAGATTGCATCTGTTCTAATGTACGACTGCTTTCCATCCCTGTGGGTGTCATCTAAATTTGTTTTCGTGCCTGTACTTCCTGCTGAATAGAACAGAATCTCGGCTGCCAAACACGATGCGGGTGGCGCTGCTTGCTGCGCTATCAGCCGCCACCGCATCAGTCGCTTGTTATCAGAGAGGTCAGTGTACCTGTTGGAATCCAGAAGAAAACGCCCTACTGGCTCTGAGCACAGTGAAACCTGACGGACTGTTGGGCGTAAACTGAAACCAACTCCATGTGCTGACAAGGAAGTTTGACGAACCAGTAGGGCCAAAGAAATGGAGGAAGTTGGACCAGTAGTTACTTATCACAGGCTCTTTCAACTGATCCACACCGCTTGTCCCAGGAAACCAGGTGTCAGTAACCATGAGAGACAGCGCGATCGCCCCCGCTCATGTGCATGACTTTGTTTGGTTGTTTAATAGTGTTTGCGCGGCCCAGTTAACCCTAATTAGCTCCTAGAGTGGTCGTATCGTTTGATATGCGTTATGCATCTTCAAAGTGCAATGTGTTGCTGCAGGACCAAAACCATTTGATAACCCGTTGATATCGAGCAGCTCAAAGGAATTGATCAATGCGCCTACCTTGGCAGCTGCATTAGCAGCGATGTACTTGTGGTCGCTGAAGTAAGCTCATGTATTGCAAAAGCTGAAACTGCTTTTTTGAATCTGCGACATCTGTGACGCTAGAAGACCGTACAGGATACGGAGACAGGCGTCTTACTCTATGGAGAATGAAGTCATGACCGAAAAACCGGGGGCTGCTGATCCGTCTCGCCTTCCCGGCTCGAATCCACGTGACCCGCCTTATGCTTAGCTCGAGAAGTCAGAGGCGCCAGGGGCACGATAGCCAGCTGTTTGTAAGTATATGTTATTGGCACGAGAAATAGGTGTCTTGATCCTGTATGTTTGCTTAGGGCGTTTATGTTTCACTCTGGGTTCTACTTCTCTCCCAGTTATTATTTTTTACACCGTAGGTCATTTTGTTTGTACGCCAGCGAACCAGTGGTTCAAATGGCCGATGTACAACTCTTGATGTTGCTGAGGATAAGGATGATCGTGTTGATCTTTACGCTGAGTATTCTACAGCTAGTTGGACTCTGGTAACCATATCCGTAAACGAGGCCAGCATGTAGCGGCGTGACGGCTCCGCCAATTTCTGTGAACATGTTCAGTAGGTTGTTGTATGTGAGTCCTATATATGGGCAGAATACTAACGCATCTACAGAGAATAAGACTGAAAGCAAAGCCGACAGAAACAAACTTGTAAGAGCCCACATGAATCTTAAGTAACAAGTCTGAGAGAAATCGCCTCGCGCATCTATTTCTATGCATCACTTTCCCAAGTTACCCTTTACTGTGACCATGAGTAGTGATAAAACACCTGCGTTCCTAGTATGATCATGAAATAAGCGCCGGTGCACTCTCAGTTCTACTGCACACTCCCAATATCCCTTATCAACCAGAAGGGACGGAACTGGAAAGCGTTCGAATGGGACACGCTGCTGATTCGAAACTTTCGCACAATACTTCAACATTTTGGAGGAGTATAGGGTACAATTCGGTTCAGTATATGTTTGTATTGGACTAAATTTCGCTTTTGACAAAACAGCTTCCTCAAGCGTGCTAAAAAATTTATTCACCCTTGTGCAAAGAGCGAAACGCCGTCGCAATCCAATCCTATACTAACCGATTTGCCTTCTAAACCCTCCAGGATCTATGAATTCCCAGTTGGTTTCAAGCTTAGTTCAAGTGGTTGATTTGCTTCATTGTTTATTTCCCTTCTGCAAGGTGTACACAAATTGCTAACTGAGCTGTAGGCTATTACATAATAGCGCTGCCCATTGAGCCTACATTCAAAATGACTCCAAGCACCAACCAGAGCAACAATTGCCTCCCTGGGGCCGTTAGGCGAAGTGGCTTCATCAGATAGGCAGGCACCTAGTCCCTATTTAAAATCGTTAACAGACTTAGTATATCACATTCATTCGCTCGGATGAGTGTGAGTCAATTGCGATGATGATTTATCACATACCCCGCGTCAGACGCAGTGTCGGAGTGAAATAGCAAATAAAACTGAAAATGGTGGTCCCTATCCCATCTCGCTTGAAGACATCTGTCCTGAGACAGACAGAAATACACGCATACCTGTAACACTTAGGCCAGTTGAAAAGCAAGTAACCATCTGTATTTGCGCTTGCATATCATGTGTTTGTGTTCTCGATACGCTGAGTCTTTCAGGTGGATGTGGATGCTAGCATTCCTAATGTGACCAATCTAGCGCACTTTCGCTTGGGCACCTACTGCAAAGTTTGTTTCATGGCAAAGGACCGGATCATTGGGCACATGGGGTGCTGCTCCATTGCTGATTATCCATAGCGAAGAACCACCACGTCTAAACCCATAGACCTTCGTAGGTAAACGGTTGACACTAAGTACTGATTTCTCATTATACTGCTTGTCCTTTCAAGTTAGACATCAGAATGAATACTCTTCCTGAAACTGCTAATTCATTTTGACCACTTCTTTCATTGTTTAGAAGAATGCACCTACTAGTTATGCCCGTTAGGGAATCTAAAATGGACTGCCCCCTTGGCACTCTTAGCAGAGCTGTAGCTCAATCCAGCTTAGTATAACAAGGTAACATTAGTATAATTTAGCTATCTTTCTGGCACAATCAGCACAATCGGTCTCACCATAAACTCACGAACATCATTTCGGCTTCTAAATAGAGGCTGCATTTTTCTACATTCATATCTCATCTTCACTAGAGATTTCTCGTCCGTGTCCTATGCAGTAGCATCTAACCTGAACATTCTGTCCACTCTAGGATGTCATTCCAGGACTTCGTGAACAATTATGAGAAACTGGAGATGTGTCACCTTGGACCACAATCGGTAGGTGGGCTATCGGATGTTACTGGACGGAAATGGGAAATGTGCATTGAACGAGGTAGCTGGAAATCCCGAGTGTCCGCTGGAGGTTGCCGTAATTTCCTCGGTAAGCCCTGATTATATTCTGCGATGCTATTGGCATTGACGGACAAGACATTCCTGCTGGGATAGAATTACATCCGGAATTGCGTTTAATTTATTCCATCAACCTTCATGAAGCAACCTGAAATCTTCGTGTTCTCAGGCTCGGATTGTTAAATTTCCCTCACCACGTTCGGTTACATCTAATCAGTGCCCTGAGTCGATGAATACAATTTCGTGACAATTCAGGCGAATTTCATGCGGTATTTTTACATACACTCAATCAGCTACTGTTTTATTTACTGCCTCAATCAGGGTGTTTGTCCTCTCTTCGTTGCTTGGACGTTGACCAGAACAATGATTGAGTCTACTGATCAGCATTCATAATCGAGCGGACAACAGATGTTATACTATGCTTGAACAATCTCTGAACCCGGCCGGCGAGTCACATTGGCAGTGCGAACGTCATTGAATTGTCAACAGTTTCAGTCCCTGTGGATCGAACTCATCATACTGTGATTTCATATCAGACAGATGGACGTTTCCGGAAACTTTTTGAAAACAGATGGACCCGAGTCTACTCCACAGTGTTGAGATGTTAGCTTCCTATTCGTACACTCCTGATCCTTAGGGGACCTGGTTCAGCTTGATCCAATACCATCAAATGTACACATGCATTGCCCGAAATTCAGTTCACTGAAGAATCCTACTTTAAGGTCCTACCAAAACGACACTTAACAGAGATACGTCGAAGGCGCAAACCCGAATGTTCCGCTTCCAGCTTTGTCGTTTCCTTTATTTCTCGGTCTTAAGTAAATTCATTCATATAAAAGTACCGTATTGCCTAGGGGGGAGTTAGTGCTCATAGATAATCTGTTGACATCAACACTGCTAGAAATACTGCTAATGGAAGTGGCAGAATGTCTGAGTCGCGAAACATTTGCTCCAGTGTAGGTTCCACTTGAAACATCTATTGCAGATACTGCCGTTGATACATTTGAAGTCAAACACCTGCTAAACTGACGGCTTTGTCGTTTATTTTTGCTGAAATTTGAAATCCAGTCTGTGGATTTAGTCACGATCACACTTTCGTGAGCAGATCACCGAGCACTCTCTCAATACTTTTCCCCTATCAGACACTTTTTGGATCAACCCGCAATTTATTATTGATGTGGTCGATCCCGATGAAGGGGATGATAGCAACTTCGGAACAATAATCGTTGGATTAATGCAAGTAGACAGGCGGCTACAACGTGACCAGGGAGGAGAAAATCTGACAATTGGTTATTCAATCTATGAAGTAAGCGAAAAGCTGTTCATATCCAAAGTTCATTTGGGTACAGCAGTAATCAACTATTTCAATGCAAAAATCCAATTTTCCTTTTCTCTTATACCAGATGTTGGCGCTTATCCATGGCCACAGCACCCTAGTGGTTGATACCTTTTACTTACGTAAACAGCCATCTCCTGTGGCAAGTCACGGTTCATTAAACCATTTACATGTGAGGCAACTACCTAGCCTGTGTCTCCCAAGGTCCGATTCATCCATGAGACCTATGTCTACGGAAAATGTTGGGGGTATATTACTGTCGTTTTGGTTAGTGTGTTCTGTTTTTATAACAGGATTGCCATGACGTGCTATCCAGACTTTTTGCGCATGACTGAAGTGGACGCATAGTGGCTGAACTCGAATGCGTAAACGTTACCTGGATCAAAATCGGTTGTATTGTTTCACCAGCCTTATCCATCGCGTGGGGATTGATAACTGGTGCCCCTTATGCCTTCAGTGACTCCCTGTTTGTTTGGATTTCCTTAGGCGATCACGCAACTGTCGTTGCAGTTAGGTTAGTATAATTTCTTAACTATCGTAATAAAATCTTCCAAGAAATACACAGCAGGCCATTACCAGTGGGATTATGGTACTTTCTTTGCGCTAAAGCAGTGACATCTGCTTTGCAATATCTTTGGTATAGATCTACGCACGATAACCGGGGACTTGATGGACAGCGAGAGATAGTCACCCAAGCGTGCTTTTTGATACACCTGCCTATGCGGGTCAACCATTTTCGTGTATTCTTTACAGTGTTCTGCATAGTCATGGTTGTTGAAAATCGGTACTTCAATGAAAAATTTTCTCGTTTATTTGCACTGAATTCTGACGCATGTACAGGCAACAGTCGGTTGAGCCACATTTTACTGAGGAAGATTTAAGCCGAGCACCCAAAAGCTGTACTGAAATTTGTTGCGAGGAAACACCCAACTGCCCGCCGATCTCTATTTTATTGTGATTCTTGATTGCATAAAACTCGGTTGTTGCCTTCGAGGCAGTTTACAAGCACTAGCGATAAATCTGCTTCCGTTTCTGACCTTCGTCCTTACGTGGTCAATGGAAGTCTCAGATCCACCAGTCTTGTCTAGAGTAGCATCACAGAATTTACCTTTGGAGAACTAATTGGCGACGTCTCTTCTGCATAGTAGCAAAGAACTTCGCTCCCTAGTAGCAACTTTCTGTCCCGTCAACCATACAGGTTATAAGTTGCCAGCGCACTGCTGACAACGAGTCAGCCCAATTGTTGCAGCGATCAACTATGCTCCATGCACCGAAGTGTGTTTGTTCCAACAGTTTTGACTCGCCTTGACAGAACTTTGGAATACTGCACCCAACATTAGATAAGCTTAATTTACAAGAAATGCATATAATGGTAAAGCAGCTAAATGGAGAAGTCAACACGTAAAGGGAAGCGTGCGTACAGGAGCAACGTTTAGTTGTGTAATCGCACAACAACTACAGACATTGGCGCAGCCTGTCATTATGGTTTTATCCAGTACCACGACAAGTACCCATGCCACCTAACATTTCACTGGGTCTTCCCATGCCCTTTAGCCGCACTCTTGACTGGCCACATCGAAATTTGACCTAAGCGAATAAAACATTGTCGAATCGCACACACTCTGGTACTTTCCACCTACGCTTGACTTACTTGTCGACTTCTACGTCCTCAGCATCACTGGGGTTCGCTATTCATTGCTACGCCTAATTATTATGCCAAAATTAAGGATTTAATGCATTATATATACATACACCCATTAGTTACTTTATATTTTCTTCCAAAGTGAAATTTGACCGCACTTCATCTTTATGTCCACTTCTATCGTTCCCGCTTTTTCCGCGGGGTCCGGGTTCCTGTGTGTAACTCATTTAGCCTGTAGCTCTTAACATTTTGTCTGTGTGTAGCGGCTGTTACACAACCTGGGCTGAATGTGATTTTACACTCGGTTCGCGTTGTTTCATCCCATCTTCGTAATGTTTCGTGCAATGTACGAAAGCACTAACAGACACGACTTGCGGAATTGTTACGCTTTACGTCACCTTTCAAGCTGTACTCATGCTTAAAGCTCATCAGGAACATTCACATTACCCAACGATTATCTGCACTCTGACATTCTTTAATCCAGTTCATAAAACTTCAAGTGGCGCTACACTTATGTGGCTTTTGTTACCTCGTGTACTGACACCTCTGTTTTTTCGGCCATCAAGCACATATTTCTAAGCGGTCTAAGACATTACACACTAATAATGTTTATGGATGATGCTGCTGTTCACTTTCCTACTCTTGTTTTGACAAGTTGTATGAATTTTCCCGATAATCAGGTTTATTGGTCTCTCTGGCGTACTCATGATATGTTTGAGGTGGTTGTTTTGGTTTTATATGTTGGATAAATGAGGAGTCACGTGGTGACACCTTTTACCTGGATACTAATCACCGAAAATTGTTCCACAGACTCCAGAACATCTGAAGGGTACGTTATCGAAAAGATTCTTCAAGTACCATGCATCGACAGCGCGGTCGCCCGCCTACATCAATATGCGTGAGGTGTGCGGACGGCATCAGCTAAAACCGGGACGCTATGTCATTATTCCTTCCACCTTCCAACCAGGTGACGAGGCTGATTTTGTTCTGCGAATCTTCTCCGAGCAGCCTCAATCGACCCAGTAAGTGTGGTTTAAAAGGGAGGATGTGATTGTTTCTGTCATCATCCTGTCACTTGACGAGCCCATTGTAGCTTCTTCTTGTTCATCGATGACTCATTTGCCTCAACTGCGCTGCTATTCTTGCAACGCTACTAGTGTTAGCATTCATGGTCAATAATTCTGTCGACTCAGTTCCATTCTGCCCACAGGGATAACTGTCATGCTATTGCCTCGGAAATCTAAAATCACATGAAAGATGGTTACCTCAGGTAATAAACGATCTACTGGTCAAAATGTTGTGAAATCAACGCGGGGTCATACTGTAGACATGTTGCCAGATTCTGTGGGTCACCATTTGCATCTTTCGAAATCGGCTCATTCGACTTGGTTGTAACCAGTCGCACTGATGTACTCTCTGAGTATGTCTCTTTGAACTCTAAGGTCAATGGACGACGCAATCAATGTGCTTTTGTTCGCTTTGTCAGTAATTCTCGACTGCCTCCAAAAGGTAAGGGCAACCTGGTTAGCATTGATTCTATCGCTTACGTGCTACTTGACTTATAGTAAAGGACACTTCCATTGCTCGAATATTTCGATGGAAGGCAGCTCCATTTGCCAAACATCAGCCGGATAAATAGCCTTTGTGGGCTGCAATACACAGTGGATTTTGGCAATGAAGTTGCTCCATATGAGTACCCAAAGAAATTTTTTCCATGAATGCCGGACAACAGATTCCGTACAACCCTCGTAACAGAAATGTGACGCAGTATATCACTGAGTATGCCCTTAAGGTCGTGTCCAGCGTCTAGCTGGGTTGGCCGCAGTCCGAAACAGAAACCCTCCATGCGAACCCAAATCTTCGTCAGGTGACGTGAACTGATACATATTTGGTGTGGCCTTTTGTAGTGAGCGAGAGGTACTAGCGATGAGCAAGACATAACTTATTGTCTCACGTGGTCTAGCTTGACTGTGATTATTCTATGGGTTTCACGTTGACAGTTACTACATTTGTGATGACGATGGTGATGTCGACCCTCGCCATCCAACCTACTTCGCACATCGATAGTGGTCAAACCATCTGAACTACGATCGCTCGCCACACGGCTGAGAATTGCAGCCCCTCCATTCTATTGACGCAACTTTTGCCTTTGGCTATTTCCGCCACCCAAGCAAATTAACCTCCGGGGTGTTACTCTTGAACACCTCCTAATGAACTTTTCATTAAATAAATCTATCTTGCGTCCGGTGTATTGTGCATTCTTGCTGAAACTACTAACTCTCTCAACAACACTATGTATTCACTTGTGTTCCTTGGTGGTCGTGAAAAGTGTTCGCAGCTCTCTGGCAGTTTAACTAATAGGCACGCGTGCACAGATTTCACACTTGATTTCGTACAAATTTGTTTCTCCTATTTGTGGGAAAAGAGTATCTCAAACGTATCAGCGCTCAGCGCAGCTTAACTCCTCTGAAACGGTAACTTATCCGTCTGATCCAAGTGTATTCTAAGACTTTGAATGCTTTCTTTTCCATCCCTTTAACCGGGGTTGTTTTCTTATTTCCTCACCGTTCTACCAAGCTTACTATAAGGCTGGTATGTTTGCCCCTCTGGGAAACTGTAGCATAATACATTTTTAGCCATTGTTACTTACAAATGCGAGTTACTTATTGTTCGCTTTCTATGCTGGTTTCCGATATGCGTTATCTCATTTGACCTTGTCATACCTGACGCTTCCTTCTCTTGCACTTGACAGGCAACTGGACGAAGAAACTGGCCTCGTTCAGCCTGGGGTAGGTATGACATGGGACCATTTACGGTGTCGTTTGTACTTCGCAACCGCTTTGTGTTTTGTCGGTTACCTTATGGGCTATCGGCTAATTAATCCCGTGGTTCCTAAATCTAGTTGTACAAATCCGACTTTGATGAGACATGTTAACCGGTTCATTTGGCCCTATACTGCCTGAACACCCGGGTGAAAAGCTGTAGCCTCACGCTAATATTCGGTTAGATGGCCATTGTATAACTTGGTGGTGTGTTTATTCTTCAAACTGTTCATTTTGTGTGAGCAAAAGTAGTGTCACCCGTGTATCGAGTGGTTTGTGCCTTCAAGAATACAAACAGATGATCCGTTTGCTATCGTACTTGCATCTTGTCTAGCCACTTAGCCTTTTATTACAGGCAGACCGCCTTCTGAGGTGGCTCACGGAGGAGGGGCATCTAAATGAGTGAGACTTCATTACTCAGCAAAACTCATCCGGGCACAGTTTTGCGCGCTGTTGGTGTTTTTGGCCCAGACAAACCTTGCCAGACCATCGACGTGCATTTACTTAGCTGAGCCGTCGCTCTTAGTCCAAAGTTTATGTTTCGAACACGATCCTTGTTTCCGAACCGACCGTCTAGATTGAAACTGTGTGTGCGAAACTACACACACAAAAATGTTCCAAAACGAAGCCCCTGCGACTCGCCCCCTTCTTTTGGCTGACCTTTGGTGGTGCGCTCCGTCACGTCACTTTAAAGGTCTCTTCGGAACAGAATAAGGACAGGCCAAGAGTAACGATTAACCTGCAAATAGCTTTCCGTGGAAACTCAGGTCCTACTTTGCCGAGCTAAAACACCAGTCCTTCTCTCCAGTTCTTGCACCAGATCTAATATGCACTGGCTCCATTATGCTTGATTAGTATGTGTTAATTTCATGCAACTCCTAATCCGGCTTTCAGCAAAAGCAGTTACGCAGTACACCGGTAACGATGTTTAACGTAAGTAACTCTAATAACTCGAAAGTACACTGCTCTGTGTAACTAGGTTTGTTTGGTATGCACAGATTCTCACCTTACACGGCTTCACCTTTGCAGAGCACCGACGATTCTAACGTATGTAATTCGAGCAGGCATCGCTCTTGCTTCGCCTTTATAACATGCATGCTTTATCTTTATGCTTGAATCCCTACGCCTTTCCACAGGTCTTCATTTTTCATTTCAACGCCTCTGTATGCCAGAACCAAGTGGAGTAAACTTGCGTACACTGGGTGCATCCACAGTGATTGCCTTGTGCACGCTCTATAACCAAACCTTCGCACTTTCGGTTTTAATCTGAGGCTACCATTCCAGTTGCAGTTTGCCAGCATGTCTTCACCCATCGTTTCACACGATGCTGCACTTTCATGTCACCAACTCGCTGCCAAATTGTCGTCCTATACTGCGCCTAAAGTCAACTGTGCAGCCGGTCTAAGCAGTCATTGAGGTTTCCAGCCTAGCCTGATTACTGACACTGAAACGACGGTGAACACCACTTTAGATGTTCATCCTCCTGTTTTAAAATGTTACCCATCCTGACCAACGGTTTCTGGTGGACGCTTATTTAGTTTCGTTTGTTGCAACATATGGTTCATTGAAAAGAATCTTCGTTCTTTCGCGTAACTGACTACCCGGCGCCTCGTTGAGGCTAGCAGGAAAGATAACCAGACGGAAACTACCTGTGTTTACTGTCATGCTGCTAATGTTTCGTCGACCTCACTACGAATGCTAAAAAAACAGCTTCTGCGAATTACTGCACTTCTTTCATTGTTTTATGGAAGACTGCATAATGGTTGCATTGCGTCACATTTGCTAGGCGCAGTTTTAACTGGCGGTGCATGAGCGTCGAACCAAACCATGCACGGATCCGGTTCCCCCAGCTTCGGGTCAACATTTCTTGCATGCGTTCGATCGGCTTAAATTTTTTTTTACTTCGCCTTGCCACTGCGCGACATTTGCACCAATGGTGTACTGAAAAGTGGGTAGCAAAACACCAAGGCGACCTTGGAGTTACTTCGAATGTGTTAGGGAAAAGCGGGGCTGCTGGCGAATTAACCCCCGTGATGCGCAAATGCGTGGTTACGCATCTACTAGTAGAAGTTTCGCAAATTAATGGACGCAAATGCTTTTGAACCACATCCATAGTAATTTGCTTGAATTGCATTTTCATAATAATAAACGCAACATGAGCGTGTAAAGCTTTCCGTAGGACCTACTGTTTACTGTCTAAAAACTACGATTTTCCGCTAAGCCAGCTTACGACTTTGGTGTTCGGCTACGACGTTGCCTGCTTTTCCTCGGTTTATTCAAGTGCGCAAGAAACCCAGAACAAGCAGTAAAGTACGAATCTTAGGCTACTAATGCATCTTTTGGATGCTATCCACCTTTGAGTTAGGAACGTCGAGTATTGGTAGTGGAAACTTTTCACATTGACAGCTAAGTTGTTAGCTTATCGTATCGTTGTTTTAGATCGGAAAAGATTTATCGCAGTTAGATTCAGTTCACCAAAGTTGTGAGTACAATTGACTCCCTTACTGCCTCGTGTCATATAATGTCCCCCAAACACTCATATCCCACATTCACTACATTTTCCACTACTTCCCATTCTGCTGTTAGCATGTCCTATTTTTTCGCACAGAGGGTCTTCGTCTTACGTGGCGGCGATTAAACAATGCGAACATAAACGTGTCTCAGTCGTGTAAAATATAACTGGGTACGATATCATCGTCTGCTGGTTTCCTTTTGATAACCTTAGCTTCACTGTTCTGCAAAAAGCAAAGCTATTGCCTCAAGATTACGTAAAAAGATGACTCTGCTTTATTGCTAGAGAAATTACAATCCGTTTTCTATTGTGACGCATGTTTAAAAACTGCTGTCACACCACCAAATGTCACTTGTAAAGCACAGAGTTATTAAACTCACACTAACCCCTTGTACTTGAGGGCTTTCGCTGTACCTTCTAAGTCAGATAGTTTTCCACAGATCCGAAAAAGTACTAGGCAGTCTGTTGGCTATGTCAGCACTTGTCAGTGGGGTTCGCCTCTCGGTTTCATCAGAAATTGGACCTAGGACTTCAAGACGCCTTGTACCACTAGTCGTCAGGTTTGCCATCAGGCCACGTGCCACGGTTGCTAACTGTCGTGACTTACAGGCTGTGATACGACTCGACTCACAGTTCACGGTCAGGCGTTACCAACGTTGTGGAGGACAGAGCCGGGCCCCGGTGTCAAGATTTCATCGTTTGGGTTTCTGATGAAGTCGAGGGACAGGTGTTACTGACGAGTCCCCATTGGACGAGATAGCTGTTTATTGCCTTTCCGGAGGCGCAAAAGACTATCAGACTTAACAGTCATTGTGAAGAGTCCTTGAATGATTATCTCAAAATCCCCTGTTCAAAAGTAATCCTTTCCTTTTATTTACTTTTTGTTGCCAGTTCTCATCAACTGAGTAGGTAGAAGACGAGCATATTTCACCATTATAATCCAGTTCCATCGTGAGCTTTTTGCCCTGTTAATAAAGTTCAACTGACTTGAGAAACCCTCATTACCCTCCTTTTTATACCCTTGATAACGTTAATGCGTGGTGCTACTATTCCCTTGTAGGCCCACTGAAGTTTGACAAGTTATTCTTTTTGAAAACTCTCTGGTACCACCTTATCTTTGCTTGGTCATTGGCAATACAGTGAAACTACTCCATCGTGAGTGTTCAGTTAGACAGCTCCTAGCGCAGCGCTATTGGATCAGTAGTGCCGTTTTTAATTGAGAGATAATTTCCGGAGAAGGCATCACAAACAAACGTAGCGAACACGTGTTTTCAGTGGATCAACATTAGGCAGACTGATGTGGGCACATGAGGTCTAAACACAGTAAACCACTGGATCGAAGTGTCTAATCGATAAAGCTACATGAATGTTCTAGTTGATGTGAAGTCGGATGAACTGACGTGAGCCACATTTTTAATCATGTTGGCTTAATTCCAAGTTAAGGAAAGAGCTTGAGCGAACTTTTTTCATGTACACTGAGATCCTGGTTTTTGAGCCGGATTGCGATCGCCTCTGCTGTCAACAGCAAGCGGCACCTGGCCGATGGTGTGTGACATCCGGGTACACAGCCTATTGGTTTGAATACGTCACGCCAGTTGACAACACTGCATTCGTCACATTCTTTTTCACACCGCTGTAGAGCCAAGCTAGGCAATGCTCTGGAGCTCTTACAGACTAGAATCTCCAGCTGCAAAGTTTATCGAAGGAAGCGTGGAACGAATTGGAAAGCAATCTCAACAGGCTCATCTAAGGAAGATCAAAAATCGTGCAAGTACGAGCATTGCACCTGATAAAAATCTAGATCCAAAGCAGTACGCGTAACTGGATCAACAGTAGAGATGCAATATCAGGCGATGTGCGCCAAACCCCTGGGATATCACATGGAAAAACTACAAAACAGTCAAGAACTACTGCATGTCATTCATCAGGACTGAGAAGTACGAACGCCGGAAGGCTAAGGTGCTTAGCTTTTCAATACATAACTGTTTTACAAGTATTTGAACCAGAACAGGAAAGTTTAGGCGGGTGTACCACCAGTCAAGACGGCCAGTGGTCCAGCAACTATTGCTGTGCATACTGCGAATACCCTACTCCTGCAGTTTGTCTCAAACAAAACATTGGTTACGCTCTATCTCCACCCCAGGAAATTTCATCGCTTTATCCGACTTCATCTTTCCCCGGCAGATGTACAAACACACTACATGCTCTTCGAGAAAGCAGTGCTCTTTGTATTGACAGAATGTATCCAGAGGTTCCCGAAACCATTGATGTTGTTTAACACAGGATGATTACTCCTATTCACAAGGAGGTAGTCGTTCCAATCCAGCCAACTACCGTCCCATAATCTTACTACTTGTTCTTTCAAAGGTCATGGAAGCTATTATTTCTGATGCGCTAACGGCCTACTTGGAAGAATTTAACTACCACGCACCGGAACAGCATGGCTTTCGACGAA